TCGGGGACGGGGATTCGAACTGACCCGTGTAAGACGGAGAAAGTGAAATTATGGCCAACCCCTGCCAACGTTGATGAACTACGCAGTTTTTTAGGGTTGGCTTCATACTACCGGCAATTCGTGAAAGGGTTCTCAGAGATCGCTGCGCCTTTGAATACTTTGTTACAGAAAAGTCACACCTTCGAATGAACCGTCGAGTATCGAAATTCCTTCGATCGGTTACCAGAATCCCTCCGTGCAGCTCCGGTGTCGGTTTTACCCAATCTGTCACCAAATGCCGAGGAGCTAATTCTAGACAAGGACGCGAGCGACCAGGCGATTGGAGCTGTTTTGTCGCAGAAAGGGCAGGACGGAATAGAACGAGTGATGTCTTACAGCAGTAGGAGTCTCAATGCAAGAGAAGGGAACTACTGCACAATTAGGGAGGAAATGCTAGCTCTAGTATTCTTTATAAAACAAAACCGACACTACCTATTAGGAAGGAAGCTTCTGGTACGAACGGATCATCAGTCACTTCGTTGGTTACAGAACTTCAGAGACCACAAAGGGACAGATCGCCAGATGGCAGGAACAGCTTCAGGAGAACGATTTTGAGTGCAGACACCGACCTTGTGCACAGCATGCCAACGTCGAGGCAATCTCCAGACTTCCTACTCGTGCTCATGGAGACTGCCCATCTTGTAGTACACAACACGTATCTCTAGTTAACCTTCAAAGTTCAGAGTACGGTCGTTGGCATGAGGTACATGCAACGGGCCCAGAAGTATCACCGATCCACGACAACCGACGATTGGGGAGCGACAAACCTACCGCAAAAGAAATGGAAGGAAAAAGTTACGAGGCTCGATGCTTATGGGCGATGTGGAACAAGCTCTCCATTGAGCAAGGTTTGCTAGTGATTGATTTTGGCCCAAACTATATCAGGAGAATCGTAGTACCGCGGTCATTAGTTTCCGAACTGTTATCTGAACTGCACGAGCAGCTGGGTCATACTGGAATAAATAAACGTGAAGCTGCAGCACGTCAACGGTTTTGGTTGCCATATCAACGGAGAGACGTCACTAACTTTTGCCAGACGTGTGAGACATGCGCCACATTCAAGAACCCGACCATCACCAGGAGAGCACCATTGCAGCCTATGAATGCAGGCTACCCGAACGTGATTGTGGGAGTAGAACTTGTTGGTCCCCTACCAGCAACATCACGTGGGCATCGGTACATCTTGGTCATGGTCGACTATTTCACTAAGTGGTGCGAAGCAGTTCCGATCGCCCAAGCCGATACAGTCACCGTAACAGCGGCGATGATGAATTACTGGGTGTGTCACTGGGGAGCACCGGGACAGCTACACTCTGATAGTGGCTCATGTTACGAGAGTTTGTTGGTGCAGGAACTTTGTCGAGTGTTCGGTATGAACAAGAGGCGAACGACGGCTTACCACCCGCAAGGCAACGGACAAGTTGAGCATAAAAATCTGTCGCTGAAATCGCTACTGAAGGCCTTTGTGGATCGAAATGTAAGTGAGTGGGACGCTAGGTTACCAAAATGTTTGCTGGCATATCGGAGCACAATGCACGTGTCTACTGGTCAAACACCATGTTTTATGTGGACCGGAAGAGAAGTCCGATTACCGTCTGACATTCGACTACCCAGTCCGCAACAGCCACATTCATCGGTGACAGAATACGTTAGCAAACTCCTTGATTCGCTTCATCAACCACCTCAAGCGGCACGTCTTCATCTTGGGAACGCCTATCGACGACAGAAATACGATTACGACAAGAAAGTTTTCGGCGCTCCCTTGAAAGCTGGCGACCAAGTTTACTTGCACCAGATACCAACGGCAGGATTTCCGGTAAAACTATACTATGAGTGGACAGGGCCGTACATAATACAGCGGGTGATATCGGATGTGACATGTGTTATCAAAGATCCCAACAACTCTGCCAGTCAACCCATGATAGTATATTCCAATCGACTCAAGTCATTCCGGAGTAAAACTGACCAATCTGTGGGGGCCAAACGAAACGCCTGGGGAAGTAGCAGTTGAACTGGAGGTGCCGGCTCAGGGCCGCTATGGTGCGGCAACGGAGACGCTGCCTGATTAAAGGGTGTTTGGTGTAGAAAAGAATCGAAACTGTTTTGGCGCGCGTTCAAAGTTGAATCGTTGCAATAACGACATTCTCACCCGTTCGCATTTCAGAGCACCTTTTCTGCTCAATTACCGGAGGAGAACAAGAACACAACGACATTGGTTAACTGTAACTTCCTTTGTTCCAATTTACCTCATGTTTATTACCTTTTGTAGAGGCTAAGTGTTGTGCATTAGAACTTCGTTCTCAACCCTTGGCGTTCTTCCGTGCTTGCGTGTTACATTACCACACCTCTTTAGGGATGAACCTTGGTGACAAGGATAAGAAGTGGGAGCCGCTTATTATTTTGTGTCGTTTAAGCTTAATCTGACTCAGTGACTTAAGGACAAAGGTAATATATCTTTCGCAATCCCCATGGTGTGGAAGGAGTTGAAGCATCACACGACAAACTGCTACTTCTGCCTAACCAGTGTCATTTGAATCTCCAACGGAAACAAAGACAAACATTCTTTGTCCCGAAAGGTGACCAACCAGGACGGAGTATGCTGCAGGGAAAATAAGTGTAAAGCGAACAGTACTTGTACGATCTGATTTTATTTCAGTGTGCCATCATACACATCATGTTGGGTTTGATGAAAAGCTTAGTAAAAGTCAATGAATGGTAAATTTTTGCGTTCCATTGCCTGAAACATTTGTTTCCGTATATCAGTGATGCGAACCTCAAACATATGGTACATTTTGAGCCTGGTGTTTGCCAGATATTGGCAGATAGTGTTTTCGAATACCAGTTGACTTCATATGATTTAGAAGCGTAGCCATCATACAAGTCAATACGTACAGAACTTTTTGGGTGGCACGTGGGCAGAGAACAAACAAAACATCACAAAATTGCTCATTGCGGACTATCGGGCTCTTATTGATCAAATGGCATTCAAGATGCACTTTTTGCATATTTAGCTGCCATTCCCTGAGAAATTGGGGTCCGTCATGCATGAGGACGGTGGGCACCTTCACCAAGACATTTCTGTCATAAAGCAGCACAACTGTGTTCAGTACACTTCTTTTGTGATGAGTGACTTCCGCTGCTTTCTACAGTGTGATATCGCCGGATCAAACAAGTGACGATCCCGGGGAAGGTATCATTTCCCTGTGAAGAGATGCAATCGGTAGTTAGCGGCCCGTGTTGCAGTGATGATTTAAACGTATTTTCCACAGATGCATTTTGCATATGTTATGGTTCAGTACATTTGCATATAAATCGTAAGACAGAGCGTTAACACTACGGAAAATAGTCGTTCGGCTATGACAATGTAACCGGAAGTGCTAGATTATTCAGAACACATTTCTCCGAATAGTGGAATGTATTAAATCAGGTTGAGACATTGGTATTTCTGTCATAGAAATTAAATGTTCTGTTGTTGCACAGTGCAACCTGCGTGATTCAAAAATTAACTGACCATGGCACGGCTTGTGTTTTCTCGTGTACATTCTTCTACTATATTGACAACCTGTATTTCAACAACAAAGGCTCAGCGCCAACTAGCACTTTTCTGCACTTGGTTATGTTAAAATCGCTCCTGTTTGTAGTTAAACAACTTATGTTGACTAAGAAAATGCTTTCAGCATTACTTAACTAACGTATGGTTCGAGCAGCCAACTGTTTCCGGCTGTCTTGCCGAACAGTTTGATCAGATGATGCATCGATCAATGCAATGATGGCGACACATGATAACTATTAGCACACTTGTCATTATTATTACTTTTAATAACTCATTTGTTATATACTTCCGTATTTCATAGTTGGCTACCGCTGGGCAGTCCTCCTGAGGTAACTTATGGAAACTTCGGATCCTGTAAGTCGACCAATGTAGAGCGTTCTGCCACTGACTCACTGACATACGATTAAAATTGCCGTGCTCGTAAAAGCCGAATTAGGAAACTGGCTGGACTACTTAATCGCTTGTATTATGTGCATATGATAACTGGTCTACGTGCTAAAGTGCTGATAATTTGCTTGCTACAAAGAAACAGGAGTACAGGAGGCAAAGAACCTGAAATGAACTTTTCTGGAGATTTCCCTGCATGGAACCAGGTACCCTGGACGCTGTTCCACGTATGGCTTTGTTACCAAACACGAAATCGTGGCTATCACTGAGTTAGTAATTATTCCGAATTCTCATAAGTTTCGTATATTTTGCCTGACAATTCGGTCAAACCTCCGTTTTAGAACAATTATGATACCTCGAAAATATACCTGAGTTGTGCGATCCCAGAGGCAGGTATAAATTATAATATTCAAGTGAATTGTACCTAACGGTGCTCAGTAATATACCGTTTATTCATATATCACTAATTTGCAAACGTTTCATAGTTTGTTTATACCTGCCGTGCTAAACATGCCGGTTAGAAGTACCGGTTCTACGATGTAATGATATTTAAAATAGCAGAATTCATATGAAATGTTATCCGCTTGCATAATGGGTGCTGAGTGAGACTCTCAGCGCTTTTTGTATCCATTTCCCTGTTACCATGCAAACATGTCACTGTGATTCAAATGCCGATGTTTGAAACTGTTCCTGTGTTTGTATGTAGCACATCTGGCTTTGGCGAAATCAGAAACAAAACGTGTCAGGCAATTGAACCAATAATGTCGTCTTCAATGACACGTCAAGGACGCAGTTTACGTGACACACGTAGAATCGTAGGCTGCCACAACTGATACCATCCAGTGTTTAGCTGTCTAGTCTGTTCCATGATTGGTTACCATATTTTCTAAATTCATACGGAAATCTATAGACCGTGTGAATGTTAATTTCAGAGGCTCAATCACTCTACGCGCACGGCCAAGATACATTCGATACAAAATTACTTGGAAGATGCTAATGACAAGTCTATTTTTTCTTCTAAATGGTTTGCTTGGCGTCTCCAGCAGTGAGTTTGAAATGGAAGTTGACCAAAACTCTAGCAATTCTTCATAACTACAGTTATTCAGCCTTAGATGGTGTTTTGAAATGAAACTTAGACTTAGCATAAAATATGGGTACTTTCTGGTATGTCATTTTTATTAAGATATATTGACTAACGTGATTTTGTTATGTTGCAGTCGATACGCTTTGCCCGGAACCGGTACTATTGTTTCCTATGAACTGGGTTTCCGATCATTAGCATATTTTAGATGTTAGCTTTACTTACGCGCAATTGTCAGTATCAATTTACTTAATCAGAATTTGTATCAATTTTTGAGCAGGGTGGCAGAATTTTGAGTAAACGACGGAAAGCAACATATGCTTGGCCATACCGTCCGCATTCAAAAACTCATTACTTTACATTATAAAATTCCAGAATTCCGTCCTAATTGATACAAGCTGACTTATTAGAACTTGTTAACCTATCGTCAACGTTGCATTGTCTTGCAAACAAACAAATTTGTCTATAAACCAATAAATATAACTGCCAAACAGTTTATTCGTTTGTTTATAATAAGCATGTTATAAAACATCATTCATTTTAGACTTCGTGTCAATTACGGTTGCAGAGGACGGTAGGCCATATTTTGACTTTATGAATGGAACAATTGGATCAAGCGTGGAGTCACACTGTAAAAACCAAGTTGGTGGTTTATCATTACACCATAATCTGCAGTATTATTTATTACATGGTTTTCAACACTCGCTTACTTTTAATTTACTTCTACTGTTTTTACAATAAAATATTAGTTAACCTTTTTATGTCCTATTATAACTACCGCTTACATGTTACCAGTTCCAAGGATCTGGTTCACATGACATTTTGGCGACAAAGCCAACTCAACATTCCTGCTTTGATCCGCTTAGCGTTCGGCTTTTAAACTGGATTCAGAAACAGACTGCAGTCTGCACCGGTGGTTCTATGATCCCCGAACAATGGAATTGACGTGTGTATGTACAATGCACGAGGTGAAGAGCAAGGACAGAAAGTTAATGCAAGACGGCGATTCACGAGCCATTCTCGCAATCCCTGAAGATCGGTTTAATGAGCGTGAGTTGATACTACCTAACCACTCAGTCTCCATAAGTAGCATGTTTCATGGTAAATTCAATGCAATCAATCGGTTTCATTTGAAGAAATCGCATTTGCAAATACCGCCGCATGAAACGCAAATAGTTGAAAACAAAATAATAATGCGAAATGACCCATGAATTTCACTACCGTTCAAGATAGCGTCAGCACTCATCTCCTTAGTATTTATCCTCCCACTCTGATTTCTTATCGATTAAAGATGACAATGTCGGCCAAGGATCGTTCGGTAAGTCCTAATAAAACTTAATATGTTTGACGTTTGTGAGTCATTGGAAATTATGCGCCACGGCTCAACACGCCCATACTATATGTTTACAGTCTTTGAAATTTTGCCCTTATAAAGAACCTAACATATTGATCATTTCATATTGCTACAACATACAAGTGCACAGATTTCATTCGGGTTAATGCTTTACCTTTGCAAATCACGGAAACAATTTGTATCACTTGAAATTCCAAATGCACACCATACCAGCATGCCATTAACTGATGTAACGAACAAATCTCAAGGTGAACCTAATTCTCGGCTTCCGTCCGCACCGTGATTTGGTGACCTTTTCAGAGATATTGTAGAAGTTCAATCTGCAAGATGGTGTGAGAAATTGTCAGTAAACTCTGCCAAAATTGCATATCCGTGACAAAGGCACAACCTTAAGATTTTGGAATGTCCAAAAATCTTTCCACCACGTGGGTAAATGTTACTTCATATTTGCCGGGGTACGCTGCTTCGAATTGACGCTTAATGCTGCAGTTTTGTCGCGCATGGACTACTAGAAAATTGTAGCGACTAGGAGTTTGATTTACTATTTACATGTTCGTCCCAATTGCTCACACGCTATATAGTCTAACGTCCAATCCTTACAATTACGAGTGGAGAGTTTCACCCTACTAAAGATTCTCAGTTAGGTGAATTTAGTGGGTTGCAAGCAGATTGCGCCAACTAACCCGTATCTTATGCTACTGAACCATGGGGGACGGTGGTCGACCGATATCAATTGAGGTTCGTTGTGTTCAAAGTGGCATACCTGTAATCGCTTACCAGTCACAAGGTAATTTAGTCGTACAGAAGAAGGCTTTGAGCATTACAACTTACCGTGGAGATTTAGTCCGTGATAGTTGTACTTTCGTGCGAAGCACGGGGTGTACACGTGGCGTTCACATATAAATCTACTCCGGCAATTCACCCAAGACGTAAGTTTTGTCGTGCTATTCTCAAAGTGCATTGCATGCCGCCGCTTCCCTGCTTAGTTCCGGTCGTCTTTGCAGCATATGAATTGAACATTTGGACAACATCAGACCCAGAGGATACCGTCGTTTCTCTAGTAAGTAATCTTACTCCTCATGTTTGCTATCTGTATGAAGCAATTGTATGATTTTTTGGGCATTTTTCCTAATATTCGTAGACATGGTTCAAAAAGTTCGCAACTTTATCTTTCATAAAATTTAAAAGCTATTACACCCTATTACCATAATATCTCTACTCAAATATAGTTGAAAATTAGCGTATATCACGTGCCTTCGGAGTTAATTCACCAGGAATTACATGCCTCTTGTACGGGGATTATCAATGCAACGGCAAGGCTGTTCTTATCATACAACTATGAATGGTATACGCCACCCCAATCAGATGGTAGAATGGATGCTCGGAAAATTATACACGTGACGTAACAATCAACTACCAAAAATATGTTCAAAGGCGGAAGAATTCGGAAGAGTGTTAATTAAAGGGACGAAAGGGTAGCGGAAGTTTGTAACCGAACCAGATATCCGCATTTTGTAATGGAATGCAAAACAATCCCCCAACCGTCAGAAGCAGAAACAGGAAATTATGAGCCTTACGAGGAATTTTTATGTATTTGTGAGGATTCTTCTTCGATAATCTCATCCAGAGGGCCGCCACACTTCCAGGAAAGTGCTCCAAGACCGTTTCATCCGCTTGGGAATCGTCAGGAGCGCACGTCCACCGCATCCTACTGGACACGAACCCACGATCTCACACCCACTAGTCAGCTATTCATTTCCCTGAGCCAAAAATGACAGTGACGGACCACCATGACCGATGTCTACCCGTGTTCTGTCTGATCGGAGGAGTGCACGCTGTATATCAGTCTCAATATGAGAAATCTGCCGTTAAGCTTTTTTCTAACTTGTCGTATCTGTTTGTCTGAGTTTAGAAAAGTCCAATCTACTCAAGAATCAGACAATTCGCTGCAAGTCGTTGCCACATGCTTGAGTGGTATTTGTCTTGTGCACAAGGCGAAACCAGCTCAAGGCTGTAGGTCAGAGATTCCTTTACAAAGCAATTAGACAACATCGACATTTATCGCAGAAAAATTTTACGTGCGCTGCTTACCTCGGTAACTTTCAATTAGTCGTACACAACTGCACAAGCCATTTTTAAACAAATTGACCAAGCTTTGATTTCTTCATGCCTGTATTTCATTGCATTTCATCATGATAGCTGAAACCTGCTAGATGGGATTGATTACCAAAGCTGAAATCTCAATGCATAGGATGTCAGTGCGAAACAACAGACCCACTAAATGTTTCATTCTCGATCTACACGGTTACCGCATTAGTGACTCAGGGATTCAAACCCTAGGATACTCATGGTAACACCGACAGCTATAGCAGGGTGATTTAAGCTTACTCGCATTTGTATGCTGCCCGCCATTTTCCACCATAGCAATGGATCAGATTTTAGATTCCGTTTTGAGGAAACTGCTGTCGCGATTCTTTAGCAGCCTTCTTTATGGTAAGGAATTTAACCTGCAAGCCCTACAAATTCCGCTCATATCTTTGAGCAATTTAAGGTGGAACTGCAAGAGCTGCTCGCTGCTTGATCGCTGTACATTAGTGCAACTTCTCCAACGCCTTCCAAGACAGCAAACAAACACGCATTCTTGGACCCAGTTATTACTATCGAGAGACTCATGATGGACATAATAACAACGCGCACTCCCTTGGGCCGCAGCGATCATGCGACACTATTGCGCCGCTACTCGTGTTATGCATAATATTTTAAAGATGTCACCGAAGAGTTTGATGTCCTAATCAATTGTGGTAGCCAGTCCGGTCTCATTGGTACAACAAGCTGACTATTTCTAGCCGTATTGTCAGTTATGATGTTTTGGGAGATTTTCTTACCCGACTCGACAGGCTGGTACTAAGCTCGTCAGAAACCATAGTTTGCCACTAGAAGAATATTAAGACATTTCAACAGTGCAGAACTCGTGAATACATGGCCCTAAGTGTTTCGGCTTGACTGGCTCAAAGAGCCTTTTCCGAGCGCGCAAAACTGAGCTCTCTAGCAACATAAAAGTATCACTGCATCAAACTTTGCCAGAAATAGAATAAAGTACCAATAGAACATTGCGATATGATTTTCCTCTGCCTCTAAGCAACTTTACAGAAAAATGCATAAACTGCATACAGTCTGGCGCGGAATTCCCGCTCCAAACACAACATGTGGTTTTACGCAAACGGTACAAGTAAGGTCCAACGGATTTGGGGGTAATTTAGCTGCATTCTACGATGCCTGCGCTCATCTTACATCCAGACTATGTAGATCATAGTGTCTTATGGAATTAACGACACTTCGAGCACTACCACGGATGTACGAATGCGGCTCGAATACAGTTGTCTTCGGGCAGCTTGCATACATCCAATGCTTTGAAAATGACTGCCATGATTTCACTGAACCAGCAGTAATGTTCTTCCAACGGTGTGTTCATGAGATTAAGATAAAAATTGGGTAAAGTCCAGATTGTCACTCCAGTATACAAGATGGGCAGACGTGCAGAACCACCCAACTATAGGCTAATTACACTAAATACCCTGATTTCCGGGGTCATAGAGCTTTGTGTCGTTGAGGCGCATATTGGGAGCCTAAAGACTAAGAGGTTCTCACTCCGGAGCAGCACGGATGTCCCAATACGACAAGACCAATGTTCCGTGTATGTTTGCCGGAGTCCGTCGACAATGGCGTAGGAGTTGGGACCGTCCATTTGGTCTTAGCAAAAGCACAACCATCCGCATCACCTCATACTACTTCACGTGCTTCATCGTTAGCCATCGACCAGCTCGTTCTGGGTAGAATAGGCAACTTTCAGTTTCAGAGAGTACTAAAATTGGGGGTTCGCAGAACCAAATCAGACCCAAATGAAATTCATTAGGGCGTAACTCATTACTCAATGCAACGACCAGGCCTGTTCTTAGTATACACAATGAACCTCGCAAGGGAACACTCTTCAAAGTTTCTACTATTCGTCGGTGATCTAGAGTGATTGCGTGCCATCGTTACAAATGAGCAACATGTACCTCTGTAAAATGCTCTGGATAGAGCTCACCCATGATCCCTTGGGAACATGCCCCAGTTCAACGGCACAAAATAACATTTTTTGCCATACGCCCAAAGAGCACTCCCATGAACTGCTGGGCTACAAATTTGACGGTGCGTTTCTGATGAGAGCGACGTCGGTGTTAGCCTGCAGTACGATCTTCTATCTGTAGAAGCAGTCCGGAAGGCCGCAAAGAAAATAAATTATTGCCTCTGCCTTCCGCATAGTGAGGTCGGAACTTTCGCCCCCCTAAACATTCCGCAAGGTTTTGGCGTGTACATTAGTAAGCACTTGAGGTACACTAGTCATGCGTGGCAACCGCGGCAGGAGAGCCAACCAACCACTCCTCGTGATTGCGCATTACTGGGAGACGAAATGCCATAAGTTTTGTCACATCTACCTGTCCCGTTGGACGGAATAGGATAGGTGTGTAAGCACGAACACATCGGCGTCTACAGGGTGATCTCTCTTGGTTTATCATATATTGAAATACTACAAGCGCACTTGCTACCATCTCTTGAACCCAGCCAAAGCACATCTTTGTGAGGCTAACGGTTTAAGGTAGCCCAGCAGTAAAGCCGACTAAAACATCGACGAAACTTTCTCCGTCCCCCTGACCCAAACATGAAACTCTCTTTTAGGGCATGTAATTATTGTCCAGCCTGATCCTTATTCAAAAGCCAACCTGACGACATACTGACATATGTGCACTATGTGATATGGTACGTGAATTTTTAATAATATATTGATGCTAAACAAACATTGTAATAACGAACAACCAACAAATGCAATACAGAAATGTCCACCACCGTTCTTTTGGTCAACTATTGTTGTGCCATCTAGTTTTCGCATTCGTTCAAAGGCTTTATATTTTCTGCTTGCAATTTCCACTCTAATCATTCTAATGGACTTGCCAATTGTTTAATTTTGTGCTCATTTTAAAGCAATAATTCAGTGCGCCATTAACACGCAGTCATACATCCATCTTTTTCTCGCAAATTCCGTCCATATTTTCCTCAATAATGAGTCCGTACGCTTTGTAATATGCCTACTTTCAGATAAAGTTATCTTGCCGGTGAAAACTCTCTGACACACATTTTGCATTTCCAATCTCTTATCCAGTTCCCCAACAACACAACAAACGGTATCGCCCTGATATACAAGGGATGCGACCCTATAGAAAACCTGACCAATATGTATTCATGTGTTACATTGCATGGCATCACAGAGACGGTTACGTGGGATTATCCGGAAAACTGGATAGGTCCAGTGCGATATCTCAAAAATATCGCCTACAATCCGCAGACGACAACTGTCCAGGTTGCTGGAATTTATTGGCCAAAGAAGCAGTGTTAGTGATCCTTTTTCGTGAAACATGTAACGTTATCGAAGCGAAGAATTGGTAGATGTTATTAATTGAATTCACATATCGACTACTACATGACAAGCATACTTGAAGCAGCCGTGAGAATTTACTCAAGGATTAGTAGATGTCTTTAGCTAATCAAATTTTGGAATAAGTGAATAAACTATTGGGAAATCTCGCGTTAACTGTATCTAGCAATGCACCGTACAATCGCCTCACCCGCGTAAACCTATCCAGTTTACTGACAATCTTCTTCATACTAAACCCATTATTTGACAGCGGGAAACAGCAGCCAGCTTCGTGAGTCTGCATTGTTTTGTTTGCTAAAGGTTGTTCATTCGATACTATCACATCAGAAATGCTATGGCGCTCCCAACAAAGAGCAGTTGCGCTTGCAAACAGTCAAAATATAAGTATTTATGTTTATCGGCTAAAATATATTCACCTGATTTATGTTATTTTCATGAAATTTAGCTGCACCTTCGACGTGGTGGTGGGTTTGTGTATGGGTGTAATCATATATTTTAATAAACCAAGGTATTGCATTCCCGCCATGAATCGGAGTACAGTTAATATTCTGTCCTTCGGTACTGTGCCGAAACGTATTGAGCTGAAGAAGGCGATGGATGCACGGCTGTGTAATGTGGATTGCATAGCCACAGTGGTC